GGCAAGCAAGCCGAATTATCTTGGTATAGAGTAGGTGTTCAATGCTGCCACTGTTACATAGGATACTTTACAAAGACTTTCATGTAGCCCAAACTGGCCTTGAATTTCGCTGTGTTGCTAAGGCTGACTTTAAACTCCCGATACTCCTGCCCCCACCTCCCAGTGCTCTAATGACAGGTGCACACCAACACCTGGTTTGTACTGTGCTGGGCCTGGAAGCCAGGGATCCGGTGCGTGCTGGGCCAGTGCTCTGCCGGCGGGACCCCTGCCACAGCCTACTTACTTTCCGTAAACTTGCCCTTCCAACTAGTATCTCCTCTCTTGCTGCAGATTCCCATCCCCCACCTTCCTCTAACACGGCCCCAGGCGTCAGGATGGAGCCCCTGAGAAACCATCCCTCCGTCCTCATCTTGGTCCCAAACTCCAGCCTGATTCCATCTTCAGGGGCGGAGTCGGGGGCGGACCTGGAGGAAGCCCAAGGCTGCCCTGAACTGACCTGGATCCCTGCCGATTTGGTGGGACACCCTCAACTCCTCAGATCCTAGGGAGACAGGACGTGTAGTAAAAGTCATTCTAGAGCGGGCGCGGCGGCACACGCCTGTAATCCCAGCACTCAGGGAGGCAGAGGCAGGAGGATCGCTGTGAGTTCGGAGCCAGCCTGGTCTTCAAAGCGAGGCTAGGACAGCCAGGGTTACACAGAGAAACCCTGTCTCAAAAGCCAAAATTAAAAAGAGTCATTCTAGAGCTTGAGGCTGGGGCCCAGTGGGTAGAGCTCTCTCCAGCGAGCACAAAGTGGGGGCGGGGCGGGGGCGGGGCGGAGGCGAGAGGGGTGTCAGTTCTCGGTACCCTACGGTAGTGCACACCTGCCATCCCAGCAGATCTGGAAGTGGAGGCAGGAGGATCAGGAGTCCAGGACATCCTTAGTGCTTAAAGGATGGCTTAGTGCTTTAAAGGAGCTGGGAATGGGGAGAAGGAAAAGGAGAGGGGAAAAGAAGGAAAGAATAGGGATCATTCTAGTTTCCCAAACCACAGTACCAAGTGGGGCGTGGCAGTGAGGAGGTGGGGAGCCCTGTCTAAAGAGCTGGGGCATAAGCAAGGACCACTTAGAGTTGCCAGAAAGTGGTGTCTGTAAAGAACAAGGAGCGCGCGCGCACGAGAGAGAGAGAGAGAGAGAGAGAGAGAGAGAGAGAGAGAAAACACACACACACACACACACACACACACACACACATACACACAGGCCCTGATGGGGCGGAGCCTGTAGGGGCGGGCACTGTGTGGGCGGGGCTCCAGCCAGGTGAAGGCTGGCGAGGGTGGGCCTGGCTGGGGCGTAGACGCGGCTCCAGCCTCCAGACTGAGTCCTGTGGGATCTCCCGGAGTCTAACCCAGGTGAGTGAGGGAGTGATCCTTGGTAGATCCAGGGGTCCCTATTGACCGGGGTGGGGCCGTCAGCTCTCGGGGAGAACTTGAGGATCCTCCCAAGAGAGTCTGCGGGACCGGAAGAAGTCTCCAAGAGAGTGGCCTCGCGTCATTCGTGCCCGGGAATCCGGTGTGCCTTGGGTGGCTCTCAGCGTCCAGCGTGTTTTCCTGCTCTCTGCGGAAACACTTTCGGCTTCCACTTTCGTGCGCGCCACCGCAAATCCGGGTCTGCCCCGAGTCTGCCCCGCCCTCCCGCCCTCCCTGGCTAGCTCCTAAACTCGCCTGAGGTCACGGTTAAAACGGGGTGCGCCCTTGCTGCGCGGTCCCCCCTCCAGGCCTCCTGCACTTGCCGTACCCCACCACCGCCGCCCAGGCATTCCCAAAGAGTGGTGCTGCCTCAGTCCAAACCCAGGTCTCAGCTCCCGGGGCTGACGGGACGGCTCGACTGATGAAAGCGCTTGTCCCTAACGCCTGCTAGCCTGAGTTCCGCCTCTGGAACCTACCCGAAGATTGAAGAGGGACCCGTGTCCACACACTTGTCCTCTTGACCTCACTCTCGAACCTTAGCACTCCTGCACACAATAAAAGTTAAGTTACTCCTCTAACCTTCCTTGTCGAATCTTAAGAGCGTTCCATGACTCGCACTCGGGACCCTTCCTTAGAAGCTAGCTTCTCCGTTCTTCTGTTGGTTGTTGGTTGTAGCTGGGAGTGGGTAATTGGGGGTCCAGGATCTAGGACAGGCTGGTACAGAGTAGGTCTTGAATCCTCAATGTCAGCTCAGTGTTAAAGGTGAGACCCCAGACCCCACCTGCATCTGCGGGGTGTCTGCTGGTGACTGCACCCCTGAAGGTGTGTTCAGCTAGCTGTACACAGACATGGGAGACCCACAGACCTCACTCAAGTTGGCCTATTCACTTCCCTGGCTCCCTTCCCCTGCCCAAAAAAATTATTCCCCAAAGAACTCAAGAGGATGCCTTCATTGACCTGCCCTCCCTGAGCTCCCCAAAGTTGAACCAGAGCTTGGTCCAGCCTCATTCCCATTCGCGAGGAAGGGTAACTGGACAAACAGAAAAGTGTGAGTCGTGATGTTCAGGACTGCGGGCCCCACCCGGGTGACAAACAGGAAGTGTGCGCGCTTCACATGGAGCACACCTAGCTTTAGGTATGCAGCGCCTGCAGCAGCTCCCTCCTGCCCCCTCTCCACCACCACCAGACCTCGGCTGAGGATGCCCCGCCCCTGTCCAGGAAGTGGTGATTCAGGAGGCAGGAATCCTGCTGAGGACCTCTCCAAGCCTAGGCCACGTCTCTTCTAGATTCCAAGACGTCCAGGTGGAGTCTGAGGTAGGTAGACAGACAGACACATAGAAACACAGTTAGATAGATAGCCAACCAACCTTCCCTCCCACCCAAGGTGACTCTTCTGACAGATTTGAGACACAGACTGAGGCTTGTGGAATAATGTCTCGAGACCTAAAATCTAACCACAATATACTAACAAAATAGCTGAGTTCCAATACAAGGAGAAACTCAAGATGTAAAATTGTCATTTGCAGACTGGTTTCTTAGTTAGGTTTTTTTTAAATGATGCAAGTTGGCAAAGAAAGGGTTTATTCAGCTTACACTTCCAGATTATAGTCCATCATTGGAGGAAGTCAGGACAGGAGCTCAATCAAGCAGGGCTGGGATTTAGAGGTAGGAGCTGATACAGACGCCACGGACGACGGGTGCTGCTTCCTGGCTGGCTCCCCACAGCTTTCTCACAGAACCCAGGGCCACCCGCTCAACAGTGGTGCCACCTACCATGGGCTGGGCCCTCTGGCATTGATCACTAATTGAGAAAATGCCTCCATATGGCATTTTCTCAAGCGAGGTTCCTTCCTCTCTGATGACTGACTCCAACTGTGTCAAGTTAACACACAAAACCATCCCATACTGTCGCCAAATTTAAATTTTAAATGAAGATGGGATTGCACAAGAGGGCTGGGCCTGTGGCTGAGTAGTAGAGGCTTAGCCAGCAGGCATGAAGCCCTAGCCTGCCCTCCCATTCAGAGGTGAGACAGGAGGATCAGGACTTCAAAATCATCCTGGGCTCTACAGTGATTTCCAGGCCAACCTTGGCTACAGGAGACCCTCAAAACAATAAACAAAAATTGTGTTCTGTTGGAGAGTATTATATACGCAACATCCTGGCAAGGATGCCAAGCTTGGCCAGGAGCCCACAGATGTGCAGTTGCCAGAAATATAATCTAACTTTACTGTTTGGTTTTATTTTTACTGCTTGGATGTTGTTTTCCAGATTGGGTTTCACTCTGTAGTCCAGGCTAGCCTTGCCTTATGACCTGTGAGAGCTGAGAAAAAAAAAAAAAAAAAAAAAAAAAACATTTCCATGACTGTCTGATCAAGCAAGCTTTATTTCAGCTAGCCAGATGGCTGCCTCACCCTAATTTGGGATTTCAGAGAGCAGCCCTTCAGTGGCTTTTGAGGTCCTTTTTATGGGGAAGGGTTAGGGCTGATAGAAAACAGCTGAGATAAGATAATTGGCTGTTAGCGCCTGGATGGAAGAGTTGGGGATTCAGGGCTCAAGGCTGCCTGGGGGGCAGAGAAACGCAAGGAATCACCATGTGGAAGGGGAGCCATTGCTGGTTTGCAGGAGTTAGTAAGGCAAAAAGGTGGGATCACACCCTGGGGTTACAAGTTCAGCATAGGTTGAAACACGTGGTTTGCAGGATACATTGGTTTAGGAAACTGAAAGCTGTTCTTGTACCGTATGGACATTTAGTAACAATGTATTACAACCTGGCCCCCGCTTTGGTTTCACAGACCCTCCTAGCTCAGCCTCCAGAGTGCTGAGGTTATAAACAGTCGCAGCCCTACCCAACTGAAATAAAGGTCACTGAACTAAGAAGGTTCCTTACGGCCAGATTGTATGTATATATTTTTAATACTTCTACATATGCATTGGTTTTCCCTTCTGTGTGTCTGAGTGTTAGCCCTCTGGGTGGTGCCAACCCCGCCCTGGTGAACCTGGGCCGTATTAGAAGTCAGCAGAGAGTCAGTGGGCGACCCAATCCACCAGTGTTCCTACTTGGTTTCTGCTTCAGTTCATATGCATAAAATGTGTGAGTGTGTGTGTGTGTGTGTGTGTGTGTGTGTGTGTCTGAATATATGCCAAAAAAGGGGGTGTGGTAGGGAATGCAGATGTCAGAAGAGGTTGTGGAACCCCCTGGAGCTGAAGTCACAGGCTGTTTCGGGAGGCAGTGTGGACGCTGGGATCTGAATTCAGGTCCTCTGCAAAAGCGGCCTGCGATGTCAACTGTGAGCCCTCTCTCTAGCCTGCTGTTTGACCTCCTGCCTGAGGAGTGTGACCCAGAAGTGTAACCCAAGCAAACCCTCTCCTCCCAAGTGGCTTGTGAGCAGTGTTTTCTCGCAGCAACAGAAAAGCAAAGTAGGGCAAATGTATATAGTTTTGTTTTGTGTGATATATTTATATTATGTTTATTTATATCTTATTTACATATTATAGATTATTTATTTATGTTGTTGTATGTAATATTTATATGTTATTATATATTTATAAATAAGTGCATTGTATGAATTTGTATACAAAATTATCTCATCTGAGCCGGAAGCTGTAGTTCAGTAACAGAATTTATGCTCGTCCTGAGCCAGACCCTGGCTCAATGCCCAATGGGAATACAGCTGAACTATTAATATTGAGATACTTAGGGCTTTGAGGCAGCTCAGCAGTGTACCTGCCTGGCACTTGGAAGGCCCTAGGTTCAAGCCCAGCGCCACATACACACAAACACACACAGAGTTCTATCATGCAGTTGTAAAGAACAAAAGACGTCGTTTGCTGTGTTAATTTGCTAGGCCCAGAAAAACAAATACCATGTTTTTTCTCATGTGTAAAATACATATAATCAAGCACTTCTATGTACACACAGGCACTTCTATGACATGAAATTAAAAGGTGAGCTACTGAGGAGCGAAATAGAACCAGCACAGTGAGGGTTGTCCATGGGTGGGCACCTGGGAAAGTCTGCTTGCACACATATCTACAGCGCCCACGTGAAAAGCTGGCCGTGGCCACACATTCCAGTAAGCCCAGCATTGGGAGGGCAGAGACAGGCAGGTCCCGGAACTCTCTGGCCAGACAGCCTAGCCAACATGCCAATCTTCTGCTTCACTGACCAACTCCACCTAAAGGAATAAGGCAGAGAGTGAGCAATAGATACCAGTATCCTCCTCCGGCCTCAACACACGTTGTAAGGATGCGTGCACACGTGTGCACACCGCATAGACACAAATTTTAATAGAGGGGAGGATGGGGGAAGTACGAGCAAAATACGTTATCACGTTATATCGTGGTAAAACCCTCCGTTCTTTGTGCTGAATGTACGCTCCTTCTGGCCTCATTCTGGACGCTTTCCCGTCGCCAGGATAAAACCCTGACCAAAAGCAGCACAGGGCAGGACAGGATTTAGAGCAGCTTCTAGAGCCCACCCCTGGAGGAAGTCAGGATGGGAGCACAAGCCGGAGCTTGTGGAAGAAACCCAGAGGAACACTGCTTGCTGGCTCGCACATACACCCGTGTCAGCTAGCTTCCTCAGACAGCCTAGGGCCACCCTCCCGAGGAATGAGTGGTGCCACCCACAGGGGGGCTGTGCCCTTCTGTAGACGTAACAGTGAAGATAATCTCCCACAGATGTACCTCAGGTAAACCCAATCAGGACAAGTCTCCCTTGTCCTGAGACTCCCTTCCAAGGTGACTCTGTGCTGTGTAAAACTGACGGGTAAAGCTGACTAGAGCAAAGCTAGAATGAATATGCCACTTTCAAAAGTAAGGTGCACGCCTTTAATCCCAGCTCTCGGAGGCAGAGGCAGGTGGATGTCTGTGAGTGTGAGACCAGCCTGATCTACAAAGTGAGTTCTGGGACAGTCAGGGCTACACAGAGAAACCCTGATCAGGATGAAAAGATAATGCCCAGGAATCGTTGCTCCCATTTTGCAGATGTGAAAGACTGAGGCAGGGTGCAGAGCTCAGCCCCGATGCCCAGGAGCACCATGCAGGTGCCGCAGGATAAAGATGACCTCGTCTGCCAGCCCTGGTACCATGGCCAGCTGTCTCGACAGGTATGGAATGGGAAGGCTCCCCACTCAGCTGTGAGAAATCCTCTGTCTTGGATTACCTTGGACCCAGGGTCTGCTGGGAACAGTGGGCTGGAGGATCAGAGATGCTCTTGGAGCTTGGTGAAGTCGGAGCTGTCAGTCTCTGAACTGAAATCTACCCTTCCTGGGATACTGTTGAGGATGGTAATGGAGATTGGACAAAGTCCCCACAACCCCTCTCTTACCCATGTCTGCTCCAATTTGCCCTCTCTCTCTCTCTCTCTCTTTCTCTTCTGGCACTTTCCTTTGAAGTTGAGCCACCTTGCCTCCATCTTCAACTTAATGTCACATACTTAAGAGCCCTGGAAACCTGACACATACAATAAAATTATGACAAACAGAAAGCTAAGCGATTGCCTGGGAATCAGACGTTCTGGGTCCAGAGCCTTACATTCTGTGGGACTATGGACAATGTATTTGACTTCTGAAACTCAGTTTCCCAATCTGTTGAGTGTTTGATGTGGTGGTGCACCCTGTATTCCCAGCACTCAGGAGGCAGAGGCAGGCAGATCTCTGTGAGTTCAAGGCCAGCCTGGTGAGTTCCAGACCAGCCAAGGCTATGTAGACAGACCATGTCAAAATAAAAAATAAACTACTTCTTAGAGCCGGGGAATATGATAAACACCTACAAGCACAATGCTCCAGAGGCTCTACAGTTCAAGGCCACCCTGGATTACATAGTGAGAGTTTCTCTAAAAATAAATAAATAATAAATAATAAATACGTCAGCAATTCGGGGGTTCTGATCCAGCGGTAGAATGCAAGCCTGGAATCGCCCAGTATAGAGCTGTGGGCGTGGCTCAAGAGTAGTAGCCACCTGCCTAGAAAGAATTCTCTAGTGAGGGGCTGGGGGCGTGGTCAGGGTGGAGCCCCACCTAGAATCCTCCAGGGAGGAGCTGGGGGCGTGGTCAAGGTAGACCGCTTGACTCCGGGTGGCTTTTGCCTGATGGGGTAGCGGAGGGGTCTGGACACGGGCTCTGCATCCTCAGGAAGCTGAAGCCCTTCTGCTACAAGATGGTGACTTCCTTGTTCGTGCCTCGGAGTCCCGCGGGGGCCGCCCTGTAATCTCCTGCCGTTGGCTAGGCAAGACCCTACATTTTGAGGTGTTCCAAGTGACACTGCGCCCCAGGCCTGGCCGCCCGCAGGCCCTCTTTCAGCTGGAAGATGAGAGGTTTGCCAGCATGCCTGCCCTGGTCCACAGTTACATGACTCGCAGACGCCCACTGTCCCAGGCCACAGGAGCTGTGGCCTCCAAACCTGTGCGTCGTCAGAGGCCACTGACACGCAGCTTCAGTGAAGATGTGCTCACAGACAGCCCAGCTGACACCAGGCCTCTGAGGTACTCAGGGTTGGGGCTTCTTCTGTCTTAGTATTTCAAATAGGGCCTCTTGTAGCCCAGGCTGGGCTCAAACCCATTGTGCAATGGAGGATGACCCGGAACTACTGATCCTCCCACCTCTGCCTCTGCTAGGCCTGTCTCAGAATTGAGAACTAAGAAATGCCATCACCTATGTGGTTGGCAGGTGGATCTGGCTGGTGGCATTTTCTCCGCGCAGCCTGGACCCACAGCCCTTTGCACCTCTTGCTCTCCAGACCTAGGAAGTGGAGTTCCAGCCAGCCTGCAGATCTGGACCATTCGGGAAGGGGCGAAGATGGCACCAGAGCAGGTGAGGGGCTCCCAAGGTGGCAGTGGCTCAGAGACTGGCTCTGCCGCTCTCCCTGAGTGAGCTCAGGCCTCTGATCCACCTTGGTTTCTTGCTCAGATCAGTAGAGAGGCTCTTGATACTGACACATGGTCATAAGTGTGTATTCGAGTGTGTGTATGCCTTAGGCCTGTCAGCCTTGAGAGTTAAAGACAGGAAGATCTCTGATTCAAGGCAACCTACCCTACCCACTAAGACCCTCAGAGAGGGGGCTTGAGGGGGCTGTGGAGATGGTGAAGTGCTTGCTACACAAGCATGGAAACCTGGGTTCGGATCCCCAGAACCCAGGTTTTACAAAGTCAAGCCTGGTGATGCATGTTTGTTATCTAGCGCTGGGGAGTTAGAGACAGGAAGCTGCCTGGAGCTCTGTGGCCCACCAGCCTGACCTAGTCAGGAGTGCCGGGCCAGAGACACAAACCCTACCCAAAATTAGGTGGACAGTGCGTGAGGGGCGACTAATGTTGTCTCCTGACATCCTTATGCGTGTGAGTGCACAAACTTGTGAACACACACATTCAAATTTGAAATGTAGTATCCAGAATCCGGGATACTCCCAAAGTATTGAAGGTTTGTCTTCAAGGTTGCAGAGGTTGAGAGGAATCCCCAGTGACTGGGCTGAGCCAGCGGCTGAAGTGGGAGAGCCAGAGATTAAGTCTCATTCATCCTGCTCTGCTGAGCCACCTTCTCTGTACCCGTTTCCCTCCTTGTCCCAGGAGCACCCCCTACTTTTGGATCTGCCCTGCACCGGACAGGCAGCGAGCCCACATTGCCGAAGGCCCTGCCTCACCTGGGAACTATGACTGACAGTCTCAGAGCCTCTGATGGACAGCTTCATGCAAAGGCTCCCTCCAAGCCACACAGGATACCCCCAACCTACTGCGAACTCCTTCCCCGGGTGCCCAGTGCTCAGAGAGCGACTCCCAGACCAAGCTGTCCAGAGCCAGAGGTCTGGGGGTGGGACGCCGAGGAGGAAGAGGATGAAGACAGGCACAGATGCTTCGTAAGGCCACAAACTGAGGTCTCTTTTTGTTCCCCTGTCCACCCGTCTTGCCTGCTGGGTCCCCAAAACCGGCCCTTGGACCCTACAGTTCTGCACACTCTCCGAAGCTTGTTTGTGGCACACCATCCTGGGAGTACTGCTCTGCATCTGCTCTTGGTGGACTGCCAGGTGGGTCACCTGTTGGCTTCCTCCATCAGCAAGGAGCCAATCTGTAACTTTTCCTCTGGAGTAATAAAAAAAAAAGTCTACTCACCATAGATAGGGCACCAGCGGGTGGAAGAAGGAAATGATTTCACCGTAGTCTAGCTTAGTGAACTGAAGAGATTGTGGGGTCATTTCCTGGAGCACAGGTGACTAAAAGGCAGCATCAGCACCTTAAAAGCCCAATGCCAAAAAAAAAAAAAAAAAATGCCCAATGTCAGCTTGGCTAACTACTCATAAAAGCCATGCCCCTAGCAGACCCTGCAGGCAGCTCTAGAAATTTTTATTGCTTTTGTGAACCTTGTAAGCTTCAGAGACTTCCTGAGACTTCCAAGTTTCCTCTTCTTCCTTAGCCTTGTTAATTCCCTTCTCTTCCTAGGAGCCTCCCAGCTTCCTCCAGGAGGAAGCATTTCAGTTAGAAGGAAATGATTCACCAATTCACCACGGGAGCGGAAGGCAACACCACGATTAGTATGTTTCACCTCGATTTGTGTTCTCTTGTCAAGGCTATAGGCCTGCTGGGGGTAACCAAGAGTCAGCAGAGTGCCATGGGCGTTGCCTCCGGTCTGGAACTGCTCACACTGCCTCATGGCCATCAGCTGAGGTTGGAGGTGCTGGAGAGGTGAGGTGTGGGAGTGTGCAACTCCCTAACAAGTTTTCTATTGATGTTCCCCCATGATGGAGGGGGCTGGGCAACCACTTTGTGCCTACCCCCCCTCCCCCGCCTCCCATCACAAACTCTCCTACTGTCCCCAGACCCTTGCATTCCACCTCTATAGGATTGAGACGCTGGCACTGGCCGGGGCTCTGGCTGTGCTGGGTTGCTCGGGGCCCCTGGAGGAGCGCACATCCGCTCTGAAAGGCCTTGTGGAGCTGGCATTGGCACTGAGGCCAGGAGCGACAGGGGACCTGCTGGGACTGGCTGGGGTCATGGGTGCCCTGCTCATGCCCCAGGTTTGTTGGAAACACGGATGGTGAGGAAGCCCGGGTGGAGGTGACAGGAAAGAGGGGATGAGTTGGGGCTCCTGTCTCTGTGAACAGGTGTCCAGGTTAGAGAGCACCTGGCGTCATCTGCGAAGGAACCACACGGAGGCGGCGCTGGTCTTTGAACAAGAGCTAAAGCCTCTGATGCGAGCTTTGGATGAAAGTACAGGTGAAAGAGGACCTGCGACACGCCTCGCCTGCCTTGGGCTGTTCTTGACCTAGCCTCAGGCTTCTTCCCATCGTACTCTGGCTCCCCTCCTGCCCTAGGTTGTTCCCCTCCCCTTTTTAGGCTTTCTGCTCTAGGCTGCCTCCTAGGCCATATGTTCCCCCCCCTGCCCTAAACTCATTCCCAGCTCAAGGCTCCCTCTCCCAAACCGCATGACTTAGGCTCCTCCCCTGACACTTGCTCAGTCTATCCTAGGCTTTTTCCCTGCTCGTGGCCCTGGACTCCTCCCTTGCCTTGTGATTGGCCCCCTCCTCTTTAAATCCTAAGCACCTCCCCTACCCTAGACCCCGCCTCACTCCCGACTTCGCCCCGCCCTCCGCTCCCTTCCCCACCCTTCAGCCTTTGACCACTCCCTGTTCCTACCTAGGTGCCCTAGGCCCCACTGTCCCCAGCCCAGATCCTACCCTTCCCACAGGGCCCTGCAACCCAGGAGAGGTGGCCCTGCCACACGTGGCACCAGCAGTGCGCCTGCTGGAGGGTGAGGAGACCTCTGGGCCGCTGGACGAGTCCTGTGACCGGCTGCTGCGGACCCTGCTTGGGGCCCGACAGGTGGCCCGCGATGCACCCCTATTCCGCAGGGCGGCTGCCCAGCGGCTGCAAGGTGAGCAAGGGACCCTTGGAGGCCACCTAGGCCTAGCTTTGCGAAGTCTCACCCAACTGGGATGCCACACCTCTGGAGGAGAGGCTAACCCCGATCGTGAACCCCAAATACTGCTCTCCACTGTTAAAGGGTCCGCTGAGCACAGCATGGCTGCACCCACGGCGCCCCGCCCCAACCACTGGCCCGAGAAGGTCTGGCCCCATTGGGGTTCCCTCCAAGATGACCTACTCCTTCCCAAGTCAGCCCCAACTCCCTCCCACCTGGGCCCAGCTCAATCTGGGTCATTTCTAAGACGTTGGCTGTGCCCTCCTCCAAGGGGCAGGCTCTGTGACCCTACCCTCCGGTCCCACCTCCAGGCATACCCCTAAGGCAGGGCTGCCTGCACTGTGCCCCAGCGGGCCTGCACCTTGCCCTCACTCCTGCAGAGATCGGCAGGGAGGCCCCTTCCTCTGCCAAGGCCTGCCCAGGCACTCCCTCTGGCTCAAAGTCCCAGCATTAACACAGGTAGGTAGGGGAGAGGTCTGAGCCACACCCCCAGCGCATCCGACTCTGCCACAGGATTCAAGCCCAACCCAGAACTTCGGGAGGCGCTGACCACCAGCTTCCTGCGCCGCCTCCTCTGGGGCAGCAAGGGGGCCCAAGCCCCCAGAGACGACCGACTACAGAAGTTCCATCGCATCCTTGGCATCCTGTCCCAGCAACTGGAGCCACGTGGCTGAGTGCCCAGGGCCCAGCCCTCGCATACTGAGGGACCCAGGGAGGCTGCCCACAGCTCTTCAAGAGGCTATGAAACGAACTTGGTGCAGGGGCCCATGGCCTGTAACTCTAGCACGTGGAAAATGGAGGTGGGAAAATCAGGAGTTCAGGGCCAGCCTGGGCTATGCAAAAACTATGGAGGAACCAAAATGTTTAAATCTGCCCCATCCCAAGGTCAAAGATTAAAAAAAAAAATCCCCCTCTTAAGATGGTCCTCAAGAGACTGAGGTGCGATACCTGCCTCCTTTTCACCCAAAGCCCTGAGCAAGCATCCAGAGACCCACCTTGCTTTCCCACACGCAGCTGGGGTACCCAGCAGGCGGCCACATGGTGCACATGTTACTTTGGAAAATAAAGACATCTTACAGATCTGGTGGTCAAAGTTCAACTCTGACCCCGCCTTTTAAATGCTGTGTGACTTTCAGCAAACCACTGCCCTCTCTGGGCTCTAGGGAAACGTGGCCAGAACGAAGGTTTAAAGAGTGAATGAGATGGAGGGTGGGAATGCCTGCTCTACAGCCGGTGGTGCCCACCTGTGCTTACTCCGTGCAATTTCATCTTTTTTAGCTCGGCAGGAATACATGCAGGCATGCGTGCAGTTGCCAGAGTTGGCCAGAGGGGGGCGCGTAGGCTTGGATGTTGGTGAGCTGTGGGTGCTGCTGTTGAAAACCAACTCTCAGTCCTCCGCAAGAGCAGCCAGCGCTGGACTGCCAAGCCACCTCTCCACAGAGGGTGGAGGTTCACTCCTGATACCGGAGGCACAGACTCCAAGAACTTGGTATATAATTATATATACCATTTTTTTAATATAAAACAAAACTTGGCCCAAGCCGAGCGGCAGGAACAAAGGTCTTAAATGACGAATATGTACAACCACGCGGGAAGGCACAAGTGGGTCCCTGTAAGGGTGACAGGTGAGGTGGAAGAGGGGACAGCAGGTTACACAGGTCTCAGCCAAAAGCCACGAGGGCAGGAATAAAGTGCAAGGTCCTGGGGGCCCCCTGTGGCCCAGAAGCAGCAGCTGACAGCCCTGCCCCTCCTCCACACTCTGGTATGTTCAGTTGAGTGTGACCCGGAGGTAAGAGGTGGGCACGTAGCCCTCGGCTCCCTGTTTCCTCCTGACCCGCGTCCAGCCATCACCCTTGTCTTCCTCCATCAGACTGAGGTCTTCCCCCTCGGACATGGAGACGGTTCCCTCGCTGGATCCTGTTGGGGAGCGGGATGGGGACAGGTCAGGCTCGGTGAAGCCCATCGGAAGTCAGGTCTCCTAGCAACTGCGGCATCCCCTGGGGGGAGGGTTAACAGGGACAGATCTGCCATCTCCTAACCTCTGCGGTGTCTGAGAGGGTGAGTTCAGATAGGATGCCCACCGCGGGCGGCACCTTCGTACAGGCTGGGGTCCTCTACTGCGCGGAAGGGGGAATGGAGAGCCTTCGAGGCTCAGTGCATGTCTGACAGCCTGAGTCTGAGCCCTGGGACATGCGTGGTAGGAAGGGACACCCCTGAACGTTGCCCTCTGACCTCACTCACACACAAAATAAAATATTTTAAAATAAAAAAAATAAAATAAACCCTTAAGTTGACTCGGCAGATCCCTCCTTTGACCAATACTGGGGATTGAACCTAGGACCTCATGAACACTAGTCAGGCATTCTACCACCGAGCTACCGTCTTCAGATGAAGTTCTTTTCGTCAAAATATGAAAAGTCATCTCATGGTCTAGGCCCACCTTCAAAGTGGTAGATAGCCACACACTGGCCAATAGGGGACGCAGGCTCTTCAAAGTCCTCATCGAACTCAGTATAAATGGGGGTATCCTGGCCTTCCTCTGAAGGGGGCTCTTCTGAGCTGCTTGGAGATGCAAAAAAGATGAGAACAAGATCCTCCAGGGTCTCTGAGCTGCACCCTCCCAGCACCTCTGACCACGCCCTAGCCCCTCACTGGTGGGGGGGGGGGTTTCCTAAGTGAGGCTCCACCCATGACCATGACCCCAGCCACGGAGCTCCACCCTGACCACACACCCAGTCTCTCACTGGGGATCTTGGGCGGGGCTCCACCCTGACCACGCCCAGTCCATGGGCGGGGCTACAGCAAGGCTTCACCTCAAACCTGCTTTTGGCTTCCCTACTCACCTCTCCTTATTCTCCTGGGATCCACTGTTGTTGCTGCTGCTGCTACTGTCAGGTGGGGCAGTAGCTGGTGGGTCAGGGGGCCTGGTGTGACGGCTCAGGCTGTCCCCTCGGTTACTGAGGACCCGGCTTTCAGCTTCTGCCAACCAAGCCTAGGGTTGGTTGGGGATCACAGCATGAGTTCCAGGGCAAGATATTGAGGTCATCCTACTCTGGACTGGGGACATTTCCCGACATCACCCATGCACACCCAAAACTTAGAAGGGAGGCAACTGGATTCTATGCCCCCCCACGGCCCTGTCTTCCACCCCACCATGACTCATGCAGCTCAGCCTGCCCCCGCCCCTCCCCAGGGCATCCCTCTGACCTCATACTTCTGTACTTCCAGCTTCAGCCTCTCAATGTTGCCCAGGGTTTCTGCGATTCGGGGCTCCAAGCTGGCAGGGTCCCCCATCTGCGGTGTTTTCTCATATACATCTTTCATCTTCTTTAAGGCCTCCCTAAGACCGGGCAGACAGAGACAGGAAGGAAAACACATGCTCTCGTGACTTTAGTTAAAGCAGGCTCAAGGAGAGAGGCAAGATTCGAGCGATGGAGACTAAAATGGCTGTGCCTAACAACACACGCTGAGCTGGGAGATGGCGGGTTTAAGGCCAACCTCGGCTACAGGAGTGAACCTCAGGCCAACCTGGGCAACTAAGTGAGAACCCGTCTCAACAAAAGTCAAAACAGAATTATAGAGATGACTCAGTGGGTAAGGTGCTTGCTTACCCACTAAGTGAGGACCCGAGTTGGATCGCTGGGGCCCAGGTACAAAGACAGGAATGGTCGCGCACATTGTGATCCCAGCACTAGAGGCAGACGCAGTCTAGCTAAGCCTGACTGCAGGCCAGGTAAAGATGCCGTCTCAAAAAAACGAGGCGGATACTGAGATGGCTCCTGGGGCACGCGCACCGCAGCTGACGGCCGGAGGACATGGCTTCGAGTCCCCAGCACCCATGTCAAAATCGGGGTGTGTCCCGTAGGTGTCTACAACTCAAGCGCTATAGGGGCGGAGATAGGAAGAGGCAAAGGGCCTGCTGGCCATCAGCCCAGCTGCTGGGTCAGCAAGAAACCTTATCTCAAGGGAATGAGATAGACAGAGAAGCCACCACATGAGATCCTCTGGCCTCTGTGCGTGCAGGGCTGTACATGAAACACGCACACATGCGCACGCGTGCATGCGCGCGCGCGCGCGCGCGCACACACACACACACACACACACACACACACGAGAGGAAAATGTCTGACCTGCACCTGAGGAACAACACTCGAGGTTGGCCTGTGGCCACTATGTGACCAAGCATTCACGTGAGATAAGTAAATAAGTAAATAAGCACACTAAAGTTCTATGCCCACCTGGCACAGTCAGAAAGACCCTGTCTCAAAATATAGAAGTAAGAGCCAGCAGGATGGCTCAGCAGATAAAAGCACTTGCCACCAAGCCTGACAAACTGAGTTCAGTGCCTGGGACACACGTGGTGGGAGGAGAGAGCCAACTCCGCCAGCTGGCCTCTGGCCTCTGGCCTCCACATAGGAGCCACGGTATGAGGAAGCACATACACAAAGCGAATGAATAAAAGAAAGAAAAGAAAAAGAAAGTAAATGAAGAAACGGAAAGCCAGCCGTTTTGACTCGAGGCCGGCAGAGGCCTCACTCCACTAGAAAGGCCAAGACTGCATAGTTCCAAGCGTGGCTTCTGCCCCATGGTTTCCACTCTCTGGAGAAGGCCACATGTCAACAGCCAACTAGAATCTGGCCAGCCACCTGCTAGCAAGTGCAAGCGTCGCTCTCGTTATGTAAGGAGGCTGGGGAGAAGATTCTGTTGTTGCTTGGAAAGAATGACTAAAGATTTTCTTGTCCCTTAAAAAAAAAAAAAAAAAATCCTGGCAGATTTTCTTCACGTTAATTTCTGTTTCGGCATTAGATAACTCAGCTCTCCTTTTCCTCCTGTCAAAATGGTGACTCACACTGACAGAGCTCCTGACAGTGAGCTGTTTTGGCTTTAATGGGGTAACACTCCTCAAACTGGGCTTTTTGTTTTGTTTTGCAGTCTACCAAAAACTGAAACTGAGCCTCGGTGCCAGTTTTGCCGTTACAGCGAGGTGGGAGACTGAGGCAGGAGAACTGAAAGTTCTGGAACCATCACTTATGGCCGAGGAGGTGGCGCAGTCAGTAGTGTTCAGCGGGCAGGCACTAGGACCTGTCCTCAATTCCCAGTTCCAAAGAACAAAGCTCTACAGCCCTCGTATCTGGAATCCCAGCACTGGGGAGGCAGAACTAGGAGACCCCAGGTCTCACAGGCCTGCCAGCCTCGGCTACTCAGCAGGCCCAGGTCCCCATAAGAGACCCTGCCTCAGAAAAAAAGTCACGTGAAGCCATAACATCAAGTGATTTCGAGACCAGCCTGGTCTACACAGTGAGTTCCAGCCCAGCCAGGGCCACCCGGTGAGACCTTGTCTCAAAGAACAAACACAGACAAATGAAAAGAACAAAGCATGGGGCTGGAGAGACTGCTCAGAGGAAACTTACTGAGCACCCCGAGAACCTGACTTCTGGCCCCTGCACCCCGTAGCAAGCTGGGCATAAAGACACACGGCACCACCTGTATGTAACCTTGGTAGGCAGAGACGGGACAGCCAGTGCTCGCTGGATGCCAGCCTGGCCCAAAAGATGCTAAGTCTTCTCGTGTTGGGGAGAAACCCTTCCTCACAGGGAAGAGGGCGATGACCTCCCCCTCTGTCCGCTGTGCAGGCTCCTCTGCCAGTACGCACACCCGCAACCTTCAGAGCCCAGGCTATGCTGGCAGGATTGTTGTGCACCACTGAAACACGGCAGCAGCAGGGATGGACCTCAGGTGGCCAGGCAAGTGATCTACCGGCGAGCACATCCCCAGCCCTTGGTAGGCCTGCTTAGCTCTGCATTCGTAGCCTCCCTCCTCCACCACTGCGCATGCTCAGGCTCACCTCTGGTCCTCCTCCTTCTGCAACTCACGGTTCCGCTCTTCCAACTGTTGCTGGAGTCGCTTTCTCTGCTGCTCTGGGGGCAGGTGACTGAAATCTTCCGTGACCACCGTCTGTAAGGTGAGACAAGGTCTGAACCTGGGATTGGCGACCATGTGCTTCCCAAGCACCTCTCTCACTCCTGAGACACCAGATCCACCTTCCTCCCCTGGCAGGGTTTTTGGGGAGCGAGGCCATG